AATATATAGTAATATTGTTGAGATCAATATCCATACATCTTGATCACTGTCATATCATAGGGACAACCATTAGTCATAGCCCTATCCACTTAAATAGGAGGCATACACTTAATTGGCATCGATTAGTGTACTATCAATTTAATGTAATGTACTCCAAACTATGATATGTTAGGATACGTTTGTTGTTGGCCTATAAAGCCAACAGTCCCCTTTACGGTGCTAACTGAGATCCACTTCAAATCAATTGCCATAAAAGCGTTGTTAAATACTTCAAACATAAATATTGCAATTTTACTATTAAATTAAGTTCAGATGCATATGTCTACTCTGGTTTCATAAATATACTATAGTTGCATATATTGTAAATGGGAAAGGGAGAAAACAGACAGGTGCTATGTTTTGGGGACTGTTCATCTTCATCCATAAGTCATTATCAATACAAACCAAACTTCAATAACATAACAATAATTATCTTTTTTGTTATTGTCGTTTATATCCCTTTTATTTTAAAATAAACTGCATTTATCTGCTTTTGATATTTATATCCTATTATCAATAAGCTATTCAATAAGCTATTTATTACACTCTTAATCTTTACAATATTTTGTTTATTATGATTGCCTTCATTTATAACATTATATTCATGGCAATTACAAATGTATTTTAATCTTAATTTATAAAATATAGATCTATACACAAATATAAGAGAATATATTTAGTAAATATTAGCTCAAATTTATCTGTTGTTGAAAATATAAAAAATAATAACATTTGACTTTTATTTTAAGCAAACAATTGTTAATGTTTTACTTACAATCATTCAATTTGTACACAAAACGCATTGTTAGTCATTAAATGAATTTAATAATTTATATACAGATATCAGTCATTAAAATATTTGTATGTTTCAGTTAATTATTATTATAAAAATCAATTTTGTTCATAAATTTATTGTCTGTTTTCTAATATAYAGTATATATTATATATATATATATACTGTATTAAGATAACATTAAATCGTATTAATACATTATATTACAATAGAAAGACGTAATAATATTTTTAAAGTGAATTTTTCTTACAAAAGTTTGTGATCCGTGACTAACGATCTCTGGCATAGGTTTTAACTGTAAATTAATTTTTAACATATATTGCATTGTTGTTGGCATTGAATTGAAACTAAACAAACAAAACATCACAAAACCGCTCCATATGTTGCTATTGTTTAATAAATAGGATTTTAAAAATAACAAACAAAAGATTTTTCAAAAAAGCATATCATTTTGCAAATAATATTATTGATATCATCACTATTTTTAGGCGCATTATTTCAAAATAAAGATGTTTTTATTTTATTGATAAAATTTGAGATAAACTTAATTATAGATACTTAATAATAGAGAGCTTTTTGAATATAAAACAAAAAATATGTTTCAATAATAAAATGTAACATTTTATAGAATAAATTAATCTAAAATATAAAAAAATAAAATAAAACAGATTTTAACATTATAAGCGTTATTTAGAGATTTAGTGCATTGCAATATTATATAGTGTATTATAAAGTGTATATAAAAGTCTATATTTAATCAAAGCTATGTTTTGGTGTTGTGTTTAATATCCTCTAAAACTACAATTTTATTGAATAAAAACAAATTCTCTGCTTTTTATATTGAAATGAGTCTCTAATTTTAAAGATAGTCAGAGAGAGAGAGAGAGAGAGAGAGAGAGAGAGAGAGAGAGAGAGAGAGAGAGAGAGCTTTAAATTTAATATTCAGTGAAAGAATGAAATATATTTATACTTAAAATATATAAAAGCCTTTTCTACTTAAATATGTATTAAATTGATTGTCAAAATAAAGTTAAACAGTAATATGCATTTTATTATTATAATTTTATATCATTATTCTTTCAATTTCACATTAAGCCATTTTAATTGTGTATTTTATAAAAATTCTATTATACATTATTTTCTTCTAATTAATTACTTAATTACATAAAATTATGAATTGAAAATATAATTGTGAACTTTATACTATTCTGTATAAATCCAAATATAAATAATTTTAAATATTTTTCAAAAATAATAAGAAAAATATAAAATTAACAATAAAAAACAAAATAATTAATATGTTGTTATTGTTGAAAAATATTAATAAGTCAATGAATTAATAATATACAAACTATTAATACTACGTTAAGCAAAAATTGCTGTCAATTATAATTATATGATATAACAAGTTATAGACACTAATAGTCTAATAAATATTAAAGAATTAAATGTCATTTCCTTTTGAATTGCATAACAAATGTGATGTCAATTGTATTAATGGTTCCGTGAAATGCTATAAAATAAAACAATATAATTGATATAATATTATAAATGCATTTATTTTAATGGGAAACTAGTTGTTTAATAAAAACTGATAAAAGCAATTATAATTTCTTTTTTTGTATGCAAACTGAATAGTGAGAGTCCGACTAGTTTTTTCATTATATTTAAATACAGGTATATTGATAGCACATACATATAGTCAATTGATAAATTTGTAATCAATTATTTTAGTCTAATTACAAATTTAGTTTCATTTCAACAAAAATACTAAACATTATGCAATAGGTATAGCTTTTGTATAGAAAAATGGTTATAAACTATAATATATTTAACAATACCCTATGGATTAATATTAAAGCACACTTTGTATTCAAGTGAGCGTTCATATAGCAAAACAAAAGCTGATTTATAAAAATATATAACATTTTTGTTTTATATGCCATCGGTTTATTGTTACACAACATAATGCATATTAAATTAATGCTCACTTAAATACTTTTAAATAACTCAACAAAAATTAATCACAATTTATTTAACAAAGTTTCATGAGTATTAATAAATTATAGATATTTTATAATATCCAGGTATATATATAGTCATGTAAAAATCTATAAGAATATTAAAACAAAATAACTATTTTATTATATAGACTTAAATTGATTGGCAATTATTTTTAAAGTTTACCCCAAAAACCAAATAACAATAAAAATAACTTTTAAAATAATTTGTTGATTAAAAACTAATAGTATTTTAAATGCTTTTTAAATAAAATGAACTCAAATAAAAATAAATATTTAGTGAGATTGAAATAAGGAAAATATTTGATAATAAATTTAATAGTTGCTAATATTATAGTAATGAATTATAAATTATAATTAGTTTAATGTAAACCTAATAAGTGGCGAAAATTATATTTTTCTGGTAAATGTCTCTCATTGAAAATTAATGTGTGTTTGAGCCAAATGAGACCATTAAATACATTATAATATACAGTATTAATATAAATTGTTATTTTATGTTGTCTTAGAATATATGATTTTATTTCATAATAATTTGTTTGTTTTATTTAAATAACTTATGTCTTTCACGAAGTCTGTTGCAAACATTCAATAATATTAATCACATATTTTAATAATTAAGAAAAATGTTATTAAATTTATGCAAAATTACAATCAAACATATTTTTAGCAAGTTTTGCACACAAATGTTAAAACAAAATAATTTATAACAAAGTCATTGTTTGAAGTTTTGTAATGTTATATTTAATAGATATACACTGTATGTCTATTATAATACTGTATTATAGATACTTATAAATAGTGATCACTGATCGGCGTTTAAACACATAGATATATAGACCCACCGATAGAGACAATTATCTAAATAATGAACGCTAGAAGCGATTAAAACAATTTTTTAAACTTTTGATTTCAAGCCTCAAAGCATTAAATAGTTTACAAATTTGACGTCATATAAACACAAACAAAAAAGGATAGGCATTTAGTTATATATATATATATATATATTGATAGTATAACTTTGTTTTAATATTAATAATTATAAAAAATTTTCATATATTTATAATAAAAATAATTTTTTTAATTGTTCACAAGATTAATTTTATATTATGATTAATAATCATCGATTATAGATTTAAATATAGGTATTAAGTTAATATAAGTATCTTTATTACTTAAATTACAAATTATTATTAAAAATTTATATCAATTCATACAATGTTATTATTTTACAACACATTTTTTCAAAATGAATAAATATAATTATATTTGTAATGTTGTAATGAAAAGTTATGAAAAATTTAAATTTAGTACCAAAAATAAATAAATATTAAAGTTATAAAACTGAACAATATTAATTATTTAGTGATTAAGATACTTAAAAAATAATACAATAGATTATAAAAATAGAAGAGAGAGAGAGAGGGAAAGCAAATTATTGATATTAGTTAAAATGTTTATATAAAAATTAAAATACATAATATAACTTAAAATCTTTAACCGCTAATAACAAAAGTTAAATACAGTTTTCAAATTAACAAAAAACTAAATCAAAAACAAAACATTTAAAAGATAGCTTTGATTGTTTGCCATTAAATGTATATATCATACGCCAGCCATGGAGGAGGTGTTTGACACAATTGATAATATTGTGCAACCAATTGAAACCAAAGTGTAGATCCTTGTTATGCTATATATGTTTAAATAGTTGAAGAACCGCTTTCCTTAACAAGAGACACACTCATAGCACTGGTAGTGAGTTAGACCGCACCCAATAGGCTGTCCAAAGATGAGGAAAATTACAAGTTTTGGTCACAGTTTACAAATGTTTTGCACTTTTGTATTTTGTCGGGTCTTAAAGTATATTCAATTTGAGATCCGATCACATATTAAGTTGTGTTAACGCTTTAAATGCTTTCAAAACAAGTGTTTGTTTAACAGAGAATTAGTTTTATTAATAAAACAAATTGTTTTTTATTCACTTAAATAATCTGTTAAATAGTGATCTCATATAAAATGACATTTGATTTCTATTGATTTTTATGTTGAAAACAATTAGACACTTAATGTCAAGTTTTTATTCATTACTTTGAATGTGATTTTAATTATTTGTGAAATAACACATCTATTGTATTGTTTTACATTTTATTTGCAAATATTGATTATTTAGTATTGAATTCAATGGTAAAAAGTAATTACTCGGAATCAATGCCGCGATCAGTGACTTCAAGTCCTGTTGATTCAGAAGCCAGTATTGACATTAATGACGATGAAGAAGATATGTCTCGTTCACCAAAACGGGAATCACTTATCTCACCTGTTATGCATCCAAACGGTTCAGTCAATAGTAGTAAACCATCAAAATTGTCATTCAGTATCAGTCGTCTATTGGGTGCCAATACTGACTCTAATAAATGCAATCAAAGCGGCCAAACATCTGAAGGAGAATCAGAGTCGCCGTCATCCCTGTGCTCTCAATGTCCGTCAACAGACAACAACGGTATAGGAGTCTCATATCTATCGTCCGCATCGCCGGACACTAAATGTCAATCACATCGCATGACAGTCAGTCCATACGACCACTTATCAGGATCGGCATCTGTTATACGAGTGCCCGCACACAGACCACCGCCAACTATGCCTTATACTACACATTATCCCTGGTTAGGGCCCACACCTCCAACACTAATTAAAGATGGATTGCAAAGTATGCTATTATTATTAATGTATTAATTTTCTCAAATATAAATATTAGATATAATTTTCTCATCATATAACACAATAAATACATATATTGTAGTATATATTCAATAAAACAATATTTATTAGCAACTTGTTTGCGTTTATCAATTTTCATTAAACTAATAACACTTAAACATTAAAACAATGCAAAATAACAGTAAATATTTTTAATAGACAATACATTAATATAGATATTGTAGTTTCATAAATACTATTTTATTGTATAATTATCACAAAACACTATTTTTATATTTTTCACAAATATTTCTAACAATTGCCACTTAAAACAATTTTTTATAAATAAATAGCATTTTATACAAAATAATCATAACAATTAATTATTATTATTAAAATTTATTTTGCAAAAAATGTATTCATCACTTTTGTCAGTTAAACATAATTAAAAAAGTAAATTTACAAATTAAATATAAAAATTATAAATAAATTATTTTGTAATTAAAAAATATTGATAACAAAAACGTTGATCAATTTAAAATTTATAAAATAGTTGCCAAAAATATATTAGTAAACACATAATACTAGACTCGTAATAATAATACTAATGAATTATTAATTAACAAATAGCTAAAAAATTGTTTGTTCAATTAGTGCCGTTCCCATTAGGTGCTGGTTTACCACCTGTGCCGGCTCGACGCATAGGTCATCCCTATCAGAACCGAACGCCACCAAAGAGGAAGAAGCCGAGGACTTCCTTCACTCGGATGCAAATCTGTGAATTAGAAAAGAGATTTCATAAACAAAAATATTTAGCATCAGCTGAAAGGGCATCACTGGCTAAAACACTTAAGATGACTGACGCTCAGGTTAAGACATGGTATGTACTGTTTGTATTGACTGTTTAGTTATTGTTATATCAAATTTAGAAGTTTATATATTTAGTATTTCACACTATCGTAAATACGTTATTTAAAATAGTTTTAATTATAATTTAATTCAGTGGTAAACGCTGTTTAAAACAAAATTTATTTTTTTTAAACAATTTATGTGTTATAAGATGTTTTATATTGTATATTAAATTTATTTAGATGATTTCCGTTTTTAAATAACTAATTTTGAAATTTTGAAATATAAAAACTAATTTACTTTATAATATCTATTAATTTGAAAAATATAATATGATATTATAAGGAGCAGTTAACATATTTATTATTGTATTTTATTATATCAGTTCTACAATTTAATGAAATGCTAAATACAGCCAACAATTTGCTTTTAACAATTGTCTAATAATATATTTTTTCACTGTTTTATTTAGGTTTCAAAATAGAAGAACAAAGTGGAGGTGAGTTTCACTCAATTGTTTTTATTATCCATTTTAAGAGTCGACTCTATATTATAGACAAATAATTAAAATTTAAGTTTGTGTTAAAAAAACACTAAAAGTCAAACTGATAGAGACTGTCTATAACTTGAATTCATTTTGAAAGGTGCGGTCCTTATATTATATATACAGTATATTAAAGCATTGAAAGAAAAATACAAACTTTTTTATTATAATGACTTACATTTAGTATATTTTTGTTTATATTGATGATCTCAATAAAATGAGCCGGGCATAGGCATAGACATAAGTATAAAAGTAGACACAGGCTATTAGATGCCTAACCTCTATATTAGATATTCCTGTATATTAGTGGCACTCATGGAGAGGACCACTGAAAAAGACAACAAGCAATGCCATCACTTTTTGCCGTAATATCATTTAAAGTAATATTAGCACAATATTTAAAACAAAAGTCTTTAAATCGATTTTAACAAAATTATAGCTTTCTTTACTCAATTTAGTAAAGGTATGAATGTAAAGGATATGGTGTTTATATTTATATTTGCAAACCCCAGGGGTTAGTCAAAGATTTAAACACTTGATGTCTGCCGTAAATATACCGGTATACACACTTGTGTTGTATCGCAATGTGTGACACATACACGACTTGTGCAACATTTAGTCGAAAAGTTTATGTCAACTAAATTGAATTGACAGTTATTTTAGAAAATTATATAGAGATTAACATAAATGATATCAACTTTCTTATTGTATAGACTTTTGTTAACAAATGATTGTATATAATACTATACTGTAGTAATATATGTAACGGTCTAAAATGCGGCTCAATTAACCATTTTAAGGTTTATCCTTATTTTTGTTCAAAACCATTGAATAAATATCATATTTAGTAGTAGTGTTTGTATTATGTATTCTTAACTCTACTGACAGACTGACTGACTCTCGGTTTGTCTATTGATTTGAAAGTCTATTATCTAAAAGTACAGACAATATATAGTATAACATTTACCATTGAATCGGGTCTTAAACTTGAAAAAGAGGCTATAATTTAGTTGAAACACACATTTAAAAGACTAAAGTCTCTAAAAGTTATGCTAATATGGCCTCAAATGACGAGGGGGTGAGGAGTGAGAGCAGTGGCACCAAATAAGTACCACTAATATATGGCTATAAGGCATAAGACATTTCCATTACACTCTATTACAGCCATTAGTGCCTCATTTCCTTTCAATAGACCCGAACTTAACATTTATTTTAAAACAATCTTAAATACATTATATTTCAAGATATAGACAGCACTGACATCAAAAAGTCTTCAAACAAAATTTTAATACATATTATTGAAACAATAATATAAACTCTAAATATTTAAACGGATTGACCATATATTTTAAATTTTTTAAAAATATCATAATAATATTATTAAACATTATATTTTAATATATAATATTATATTTTCAAATTTGTCAGTCAAAATACAAATGAATATTAAATGCTTTTCACTAAAATTTAAATGCTATTCAAATAGACAACATAATTAATAAGTAAATTAAGTAACAGTGTATATATTGATGAAATTTAGATTTGTTTGTTTAGATCAATTGAACTTAAATAAATCAAAATAAAATAAATTAACTTTTTTATATTTATCAATTTAAATACCATTGAATACAAACTGATAAAAAATATAATTTTAAATACAAGTTATAAAAGTCGCCAAATAGGCGCCCAAATGATTGTCACGCGTGAGTGGTATCTTAAAAGTATTTGTCTTTTATTATCTTTGAAATCACAAAAATGTGGTATTTATAATACCTCCCAAATTTGATATTATGAAAATCACTTAAATTTGCTTTTTATGACTTAAACAAATTATTTAAAGTATATAATATAACATTTAAAATATGACACAAAACATCACTTATCAAAATAATTTGTTAGATATGTACTTAATATATCAAAACTAATCAAATATATCTAAACTATAATTTGTTTTAGGCGTCAAACGGCTGAGGAGAGAGAGGCAGAGAGACAGGCAGCCAATCGGTTAATGATGTCATTGCAGGCCGAGGTTTCCAAATCAATGTACGGATCGGGACAACCGGGTTCTGACCATCAGGCGGGTATGGCAGCGCACGCGGCTGCAGCACAAGCAGCGGCTGCTGTGGCCGCACGTGAATCGTTATGTTTGAGCAGTTCCTCACTTCATGCACTACAGAACCTGCAACCATGGGGTGGGGATCCACATCACGCTATGGTAACTCATCACCAGTTAGACAGAACACCCTTTCCATTGACACCAGCCATGTGTTAGTTATATAACACAGACATCACATGAGTGTATGTTTTTGAATCACTAGTCGATTACAAATCAAAACACAGCTCAGGACTCACTCATTGGAGACGACACTTGAAGAAGACTTCAAACTTTACTTTAATGGTCTCAATACTACTAATACTGTATGTTATCAATACTGTACTATAGATGCGCTAATAGTAAGCGATAGCACATCATTAGACGCTACTGTTTCATGTATTATATGATATATTTTATAATATATAATACAATAATGTATTCCACTTAACAATTACATCAATTGCAAACATTTTACTTAAATTTAATGTACAAATAATACATGTATAATGTATAACATTATAATTGATATCAATTATAATATTCAGAATGTCTTATTATTAATTTATTATTATTTTTTATCATTACATTATTAATATTACATAAATCTTACTATAATCACCTAAATAATATAGTAATATTATTATTAAGTAATATCTTATATTTTTGTCTTAAAATAAATTGAAATTATAATATAAAATAAACATATTATTAGAGCCATATTATTAGCAAATAATGAGTAAAAGATTGTAAACAAAATACTCAAACCTGATCTGTATTTATATAATATATAGTTACCAAATAGTAATGTATAATTCCTGTAGATTTTTACAAATTAAAGTGTTACTGCCTGTATATTCATTATATAATATAATTATTTGATATTTATTGATATCAATTTAGGAGTAAACTTTTTATGTTTAAACATTATTTAAAGTTTTCAATTATAGACTTATATATAATTTGTTTTTAAATAATTGAAACATTGTGACAGTTATCTATAAGTTTTATTAAAATATGTATTTAATAATAATTAGTATGACGTGTATGAAATTGCATGTTTTAAATTATAAAAACCAAAAAATTGTTTTTTATTTATATTATTGTATATTAGAAAAAATATGCTAATATTAAATAACAATTTTCAAAATCTTAATATGCATTTATTTTCTGTGATGTATTACTACATAACCAGTAATAATAAACAAAAAACTATTATTAATAATAATGCAATTATTGTTGTAAAATATAGATTATGCAATTATTAAATTCAAGTTTTGAATTAAAATTTAATCAAATGTTAATTTTTAGCAAATAATTTGGTAATCAAATTTATGCTTAAGTCGCACAACATAAATATAGCTTCAATACATGCAATATGATTGGTTGATGATTATGCAAATTAATTTTACTTATTATTATTATCATTAATTTTAGGAGTTGTTTGAATCGATTGAATTATTTTAAAATTTATATTAATTTTTGTTTAATATAAGGTAGATATTCAAAATAAATTAATATCAACTTGGTTTTCAGATTATCTAAACATCATTATTTAATTAAATAGTAATTTTTATTTATAAATATCTAAATAAATAAAATAAACAATAAATGAGATTTGTCTAAGAGTTACAATTTAATAGATTAATAATAAATTTGTAAAACTAAGCTCTGAGTTAAATGATCGACAAAACAATTATTTTGATCGTATCTACTAATAGTCGGAACTGACTTTTGTCACTAAATAAATAAATATTAATATATTTTTAATTTTTATTGCAAAAGCTTATAAAAATGATTTGTTATTAATCGCGTGTCAAATGTTTATTACTTATTATAGTTGCGGTTAATATAGCGGCGACTCATTAAAAATGATATCATATTATTTAGTGAAATTGCAATTTGCCTTAATTCGTATGTAACACTTGATAACACTCGACAGCACATACCGTATAAAATATACAGTGCTTTTGTAGGCCTGACTATCATATGGACTGCGCTTCTCTATCATTGCTAACTCATTAAATAAATGAATATTTTTTGAGTGAAATACGTAAATTTGATGACAAAAGTCACCAGAGATACAATAACTATTAACATTATTAGATGTACTCATATTATAATCAACTATTGCACTGTCACCACATGCATACCAGTCTTATGCAATCATTGCTGAATATATATATACAGTAAATACTGTATATAATATACTGTATATATACAGGTATAAAGTAAGTGTGCGCTCATATTATACAATCGCTAAAAACAGTCTGAATATATTTGAGGCATAATTTTTAGATTAATATTACAAATAGAAATGATTTTTCAAATGACATACACTTTCAATCTGTTTAAATGCAATTATGTGTTGTCATTATAATTGACTTTTAATAAAAAGCATCTAAAAATCAATTAAATATTTAAAATTGAATATATATTTAAAAATTGATTTGTTTATAATAGTTAAGTTTATTTTAAAAATCATATTTGTTATTCAAAATATAAATACAATATTTATTTGTTTATTAGTTTGGCATAAAATATATGCGTATAATATGAGATCACCCATACACCACACCATTGCACCCACCGGTGCTCTACCAGTGAGTGTATATAAAAGTGAGTAAAGAATCTATGGTTTGACAAACAATTGATTGTATTGTTGATGACTTTCACATTAAAATAATCGTCGGCGCGTAAAATTAGTTTGGCTTTTATGTTATCACTCAAATACAATTGTTATGCTTCACAGAGTATGGACCACACCTGCCCACTGCTCACTCACAGCACCGGCAGCTTTACTATGTTATGCTATGCTATATCAGTGTTGACTAAACTTTATTAATGCCCCAAAAGACGAGTCACTAATTTGCCAGAAATTAAAACGAAATCATGTATTCTGGTTGTGATAGCGCTATAAAATGCATATTTAAACCATACTTACTATAACTACATTTAATGTTTATTATATTATACTGTATACACAATTACAGGTATATACAGTGCAAAAACTAGTTATATATTTGATGGTCTTTTCAATCAAATAAATACCAAGAGTTTTGAGTCTCTCTCTCTCTCTCTCTCTCTCTCTCTCTCTCTCTCTAAGGCACACACACATACACACACACATAGACACACACACACACATACACACACATACACACACACACACACACACACACACACACACATACATACATACATACATACACACAATCACTCTTTTTGATGGATTCATAACTTGTAATTCAAACCTCCAATTTTTAGTGATCATTGCATCAAATAATTGTCTAAAATAGATAATTGAGGTTTATTTTTAGTTTAACTTATATAGTAGCTGTATTCATTATATTATATACTGTATTATTATTAAGTACTGTATAATAATTTTTAATGTTTTTGAGAAAATTTAATTATTTTCATTTAAACATATTTAATTCTAAATACAAATAATAATTATTTGATAGTTTATTAATTTACAACAATTATTAAAAAACTAAAACAACGCCTTTAATAGTAATTAATAAAAAATATAATATCAACTAACATAAAAAAACTTGTGTTCAAGGCTTAACTTATCATTAAATATGTTTATCATTTGATATAATATTTTTTTAATGAAAAACTATTTATTTATTAGATGCAAATCATATGAATTAAAATCTTATAATAGTATTTATTGTAAGTACTATTATAGTATAATAGCATTGTTACAGTGAAAATAGTAAAAACAATTAATTAAAAATACTAAAACATTAGTTTAAATTTTTTAGATAAAATAAGATTTTGTTCGTAGTTAATTTTAAGTTGATTAACTTTTTATTTTACAATTTTATCAAATTATTTATTTTTTGTTAATAAATATACAGTTTAATATAATGAAATGTTTATTTTTAAAAATTAACTAAATGCCTATAATTATAACATTTCATTGCAACAAATAGCTATTGTTTTTATAATTTGAAAATCAATTTAACGCTGCATATACTTAATAATTCATTTTAATGAGTGTATACTGTATATAATGTATAAAAGTGATGCGAAAGTAATATCATAAAGATTTGAACAGTTGTTAATTCAATGAAAAGCCCTCTCATAGCTTCCCTAATGTAATGATAGCCTCAGAGATATTTAGGTAAATAGAAAAGCTTATAGAAATGTGGAGAAATTTCAAGAAACTTTCTTTAAAAAATCTAACATGAAAATCATATAATAATTTATAAAATTTAATTATTTAATAGTAATAAAGTATTGTTTAATAATATGTAAATTTTAATTGTGAATGTAAATTCAGTTATATTAGCAGAATTAGGTTAGGTATTGGCAATTTTGTAAATAATTTATATTTATATATATATATATAATATTTATTATATTTTAATTTAGTTTTATTTTTATTCAATTTTACTTATATAATGAAAATAAATTTAAATCTTGATTTAAATTAAACATTTAAAAATTGTTGAAAAGTTTTATAAGAAATTTATATTTTCTTAACTCTATTTGAAACAACATTTAATAGTAAATGAAAATTAATTCTTATTTGTTGTCTTAAGGCTCATTCATTTCTCATTTTTTTGCTATTAGTCGATCATAAATGTTGTTTAAAAACTTACTGTTTAAATGGTTAGGACTGACTATATTGTATCGTATATATAAAATGGTTTCTTAAAGAGAGAGAGAGAGAGAGAGAGAGAGAGAGAGAGAGAGAGAGAGAGAGAGAGAGAGAGCTATGTGGAGAATTGGCACCAATGATATCATTTAATTTTAAAACTTAAACGTTTATTTAAACTATGGTTCAAGTGATGCCTATCAGAAGCTAAAAAGGTCTGAAAAAATAAAAAACAACAGTTCCCAAGGTTAGGGTATGTTAGGGTAGGTTTGATAGGTTTGCACAATAAAATGTTTCTTCGATAAAAAACGGTAAGAAAAGTATAAGTAGGCGCTACATAGTAAAAATACATTGAGATAAAAGTTTAAATTATATACAATATATATATATAAATTTATATAATTAGCCATTTTTAATTTGGCAATCATTAAAAAACAAAGCTATTAAAAAATTATTAATAATATATTATGTATTTTGGTGTATGCATTAACACAACTTTATCTTACACTAGATTTTATAATACTAACTGAACTGAAAATGTAAACTACTGTATATTAAATTTGATTTTTAATAGTTAAAAACTAAATATTTATTTAACAATTTTTAATGACTAACATTATTGTTAAAATTTCTCAATTTAAATCAATTGTATAATTAGTCAATTTTTGTGATAAATAATTAACAAAACTATTATGAACTAACATATTGTGTACTTTTCTAAACTTGATTTATATCTTTTTATTAATTAAATGTTATTTAATGTTTTAGTTAAT